ATATGGAGGGATAAACCTGAGACATGGAGGCTGACAACAAGCTGCACGCCTACAGCTCCTGCACTCATAGGCAGATGTGCACACGTGTTTCATGGCATTATTTGAAAGGACTGCTTCATGTCACACTGACCCTGTGTTTTCACTGATGCTGTGCTTGACTGAGGTGTGCTGTCACTGCGGTGCATGGGGCACAGCAGCCCATCTCTGCAGGTTTGGAGGGTCTGTACGTAAAACCTCCGCTACACACAACACAATGAGCTGTGTCAGAGCCACCCACACTGGAGGAGGAACATCTGTACTCCCACAAACAACAACAAGCAGAGGAACGAGCAACGAAAACTGAAGGCAGACCGACTGAGTGACGGTCGCTGACCGAGGCGACCACCTCTGTCACGACTCTGAAAAACAAACTGGCACAAAGCGGAGCGCTGCTGAGAGCAGGATTATGCTGGCTGAAGAACAGCAGTCGAATCCACCAGGACAATGAAGCAACTTTCCATCTAGAACATCGGAGACGAAGAAGTCAGGACTCAGCTGGTTTCTGTAGTTTAAAGAGCGGCTGGCACACGACTGACAGCACAGAGGGCGGGCTGAGACAGAACCACAGCGAGTCCAGCAGGGAACAGGGAAGTTTGTGTGGATTCCATCTGAATCCGGGCTTCGCGACAGGAAGCTTCTCAGTCCTGAAGGCAGTGAAGCATTTCTACCACCCTGGAAACGCCGTCTCGCCTCTGCTCGCACAAACACCCTTTTCCTCTTTTTCTGAACCAGCTTCTGTTCTGGGTTTTCCAAAGAGTGCGTCACTCGACCTGCAACACGTTAACCAGGGAGAACTTCACAGGCTTACTTTCATCTATGCGCCGTTCATGTCATCATAGCATGAAGCAGGACTGATGTGTGTTTCTTAACCATTAGAGATTTCACACAGCGACAGAGCCTGAGAACTGAGGAAGTATGAGCGGCCACACGGAGCGCCTGGATTAGCTCACCAATCAGATTTCATCAAACATTCGCAGAAACTTATCGAAACACGTCGCCCTACTTAGCGTAGTGGTAAGACCACACAGCTTTGGAGTGGAAGTTGCAAGTCGCAAAACAGGTGTTTCAGTAGATGATGAGCCTTTAATGAGGAGCTCTTGAGTCTTTTTATTAAACTCATTTGGACAGAAAAGTCCCACATCTGCATTAACTCGTGCATTAGCATTAGCACATCTGCATTAAC